AGAATGCTGAGATTACAGGCCTAGCCTGGTTAGCACTTGCCTGTAACACATGGAAGGATATCACACACGATAGCAGTATTGGTATATGTTCTAGACTTTTGTCTCAACGTAATTGAAATTTAACTATGTTAGAGCTGTTGGTGATTAAACAGTGACACAGAAGGTGTAAGCAGTCATTTCTTTCCTATGCTGAGTGTCTAACACTAAAAGCGCTACTTCCAAGCTACTCAAAAACCACAAAGGTATGGTAAGCATAAATCTTTCAAAGACATTTTGACGGCAAAAGATTTATTGCTGTGAGTCATTACCCTGAGGCAACAGACATAAAACTAGAGCATCCCGTGAAAACTGGAATATACAATGAGACGAACAGTACTATTATAATTCAACAGTAATCATGATGATGCCAACAACCAACTTCTGAGCACTGACCAGGCGCTTGACATGTATCAACTTACCGATCCCATAAATTCTACAAGGTGTATCCTATTCTGTGGAGGATAAAAGTGAGTATCCTTGGAGAAGAAAAAGGAGTACAGAGAAGTTGTGAGCCCAAAGTTATCCAGCTAACAGTGCTGGAGCCAATCAGGAAGCCAGGCAGGCTGCCTCCCGGTCTCCTCCTATGCTGTTACGAAGTTCTGTTTCGAAGGAAGCCCACACCCGCCACCCAGCGCTGAGTAGTAACCTTTATGTCAAATGAAACAGTCCAATCCGGGGAGCCCTGTGTTTCTCTTTTTCCTCTCTTTCTGCCATCATTCCCCAAACACTTTTTAACTCTAAATTCGATTAGTACAAACTTCAAAATGTCAAAAAGCTTTCCCAACAGGAGCAGCAGCAGACAGAATCAGTTTACACAAGGTGGCCAGGAATACTATCTTTCCCGCTGACTGGCAGCACTCAACTCCCACAAAGTCAGCCCTAACGCACACACCCATACACACACACACACACACACACACACACACAGAGGTTTGCTCACTCATCCCATTTCTTTAGTACAATCTCCAGCATTCACATGATCTTTTATCTCTAGTCTAGCCGTCTTTCATGGTCCAGATATACCTAGTCAGCATCTCCACTTTCATACTCAACAACATTTCAAAACTGAATTCCTTAGCTTATCGGAATTGGGTGCAACTTTTGCCTTTGTTTCTCTCTTCCTTCTCTGCCAATGTGATTTCAACCATTCGTCTGAAATCCACTTATTCCTTACAATTGTCAAATTTTTATCACCACTCCTGACTTTCCTTCCTTGATCCAAGTTTGTAATCACCAGCCATCCCCTCCCCAGCTCCTAACGGATATTTATAATGCTGGAAGGCAAAACCAGAACAGTCTACTTTCAAATTTACTGATCCATCTTCCCCACCTCAATTTTCCTTTCTGTTGTTCCAACAAAAAACCCGACATCTCCTCATCCTTCACGAGCAGTCTACTCTCACTTAACTTCTTAGAAACTTCAGGGTAATCTCACAAATACACACATACAAATACCTGTCTATGGACAGAATATTCCTAGAATGACACACAGGAAACTGATCATATGTAATCAACATCAGGCTTTTCTTCAAGGTTGGCAGCATGGGAGCGGCTGCAACAGCCGGGTCGTCCGCAAACTCTTTCCGCTGTCTACCCCCAACCATGATCCATCTGCGCAGTTTCTGAACAGTGATGATTCCAGGTTTTAAAGTTTGTAAATTTCCAGTTTCTATAGACTTTTATCACCCACTCATGGTGATTTTATAACTCAAGCATTTTAATTCCTTTCTCTTTTCAGTTGTTAATGTTGAGATCCAACGTTTTTGTAAGTTTTTAAAATTTCTACATTAATTTTTCTGTCATAGAAATGTAAAAGTGCAGTATGAATAATTTCCACTTAGCTTGGTAATAAGTAAAAGAAAGTGATGATACATTTTACTATATACTCTTATACCTTTTGAACTTTTGTGCTCTATGAATATCCTAAAACTCAATAAAATTTAAAGCCAGGCGTGGTGGTGCATGCGTGTAATCCCACAACTCGGGAGGCTGAGGTAGGATCACTGTGAATTCGAGGCCAGCCTGGGCTACAAAACAAAGTGAGCTCAAGCCCAGCCTGAACTGCACAGTGAGACCGTCTCAAACACACACACACAAATCAATAGAATTTAAAAAGGAATTACGCCTTTTGAAGGAGAAGTAGGGAAACAGAAATATGAGTGAAGGTACCTTCTATTTCATACTATACTTTCTGCACTTCTGAAATAGTGAAAAACTACAGAATACTACTTAAATTCATAGCAGGCCTGTGAATAAGTTAAAATACAGACCTTCTTTAAAGCTCTACTTCCCTAAAGAAAAAAAAGAAAAAAAATACTGTGTCATTTCGCCAGCAAAATTCATTTAGATGATGAATCAATAACCCTTAGTCAGCTACTTTTCATCTGACAAGCAGATGTGAAGTTTAAGAGTGTTATCATGGTCCCCTGTATTTGAAATACAATGTATTCCTGGAGTGGGGAAGAAGCAGTGGGGGATCATGACATACTTTTCGTTGTTGACATTATTGTATCAATGAAAATAAATAAAACCTCTGGGCATGTGTTCCACACCAAGTTCCACTATTTATTAGTGTCTCTTCATAATTTGTAATCACCATTACTCTTAAGAGTTGAGCCAGGCATGATGGTGCACACCTGTAATCCCAGCACTCAAAAGGCTAAGGCAGGAAGATCATTGCGAGTTTGAGGCCAGCCTGTGCTACAAAGTGAGTTCAAGACCAGCCTGAACTGCATAGTGAGACTCTGTCTCAAAAAAAAAAAAAGTTGAACTGTTGCCACCAATTCAAATTATTGTGTTGACGTCTTAATCCCTAGTAGGTAAAGCAGACCTTATTTGCAAATAGCTTTGTTACAAATAAAGTTAAAGATAACATCTAGTATGGTTCCTAAGAAATCAATATGACTAGTATCCTTAAAAAGGGTAAAACTTGCAGTGGGATGTAGTTCAGTGATGGAGCACTTGCCTAGCATGTATGAGGTTCAATTCCCAGTACTAGACAGACAGACCAATTTGGACAGAGACAGACTCTCACAGACAATGTGGAGAGAGCAAGGTAAAAATGGCCACCTACAAGCCAAGGATAAAGGCCTAGGGCAGACTCCTCAGAGCAGAGATCTTAGAAGGTATCAGCCCTGCCCTCACCTTGGTTTTGTATTTCCTGCCAGAATTATGAGACATTAGATTTCTGTCATTTAAACCAAAGAGTTTGTGGCAATTTGTTATAGCAACTCTAAGAAATTAACAAAATTACACATAGAAATTACTTTAAATAATCACTTAAAAGACCAATACTGGACATAAAACTTACAAGTTTCTTTGAAAACTTAAAATCTCATAAGAAATAGTGCTTTTAGTGTCAACACATATATGCTTAAATTTTGATACCAAGAAATATTACAACAAAACCATGCAACCATTTTTAAGGATATACACTTTCAGACATAATAGTCAAATGTGTGCAAGTTTGTGAAACCCCAAATACATATCCCCTCTCTGACCATTAGGGACTTCCCATGAAAATAAGTCATCTGAAAAGGGTTTAATTGGATTTTCTAAGCTGATTTTTCATTCACCCTAGGCCTACTCAGTTGAATATCTAAAGAGGGCTTTAGAAATTTGTTTTTTAGGAGTCTGCAGACTTTTACAGTAATTTGTATTTTATTGCAATCTCAATTCTCTGAAAGCCAGTGGATCACCGTCAACATTTCAGCTACCAGGGGTAATACAAAGAATTGTATTATAGTAGCAATTTTATCTCTCCACTCTTCCAACATTCCCTGTAAACTAGCTATTTTTACCTGTACTGTAAGCATTAGGAAACTGAGGTTAAGTGAAACCACCAGTAACGAGAAGTATTCCAATACAACCGACACTAACTCATGGGCACTTCATCTCTTGATCCCAGAGTAGAAAATTCCACATTAATATGAAGTACTGGTTGTTAGATGGAAGCAATTTACTTCCTATGCAGGGGATACATGTGATAATGTTTGGAGAGTCACAAGTGTAATGTGTAAAGTCAAAGGTATAGCAGACAAAGGTGCTGCTGATACCCAGTGGGCAGAAGCCAGATGCTGCTAACATCCCCCAAGTCAGAGGACAGTTCCCTACAACGAAGAATTACACCCCGCCCCTCCACGTGCTGGTGATGCTCAGACTGGGAAAGCCGAGGACAAACAAAATGTTCCTCAACATGTCTTCTTACGGAAGGACTAATACCCCACCCTCCTTTTTCTAAAATCAGCATTTAAAGTCAATGGAAATACATTTAAACCATACTAAGATGTTATGGTTCATGTTCATCTCAAAAAAAAAAAAAAAAAAAAAAAATCCTATCTTGAAACCTTAAAACCCAACATGATGGTATGAAGAGGTAGGGCCTTTGGGAAATGATCAAAGTGTGAGGGTTTCATCCTCCTGAACAGAGTAAGTGTCTTACAGAAAAGGCTCGCGCCCTTCCTCCATGTTGTAAGAACACAGCAAGTGCCACTTTAGAAGGATACAGCAAGCCTCACCAGACACTGAATTAGCAGGAGCCTTGACAATGGACTTCCCAGCCTCCAGAACAGTGAGCAGTAAATTCCTGCTGTTTATAAATTGCCTAGTACATGGTACTCTGTTAAAGCAGCAGGAACAGCCTCAGACAGAAATGTACTTAATATTTAAGTATGCACAGCAATTTTTAATTCATCCAAAAAACTCTTGGATTTATATTATAAAAACCTGAAAAAACAGAACTGTGGAAGTTTCAATCTCTAACACTATGTCCTGTACAAACACACAGGAGTGGGGGAATAGATGTACATCTGACATGTTTTCATTGATGTATGTTTAGTACAATCTTTCCCTGTCTAAAGGATGTACTGGGAGGGGCCACCTCAATACAGAAAAGCAGGACGAAATAATATATTGAAGCTTTAGCAGACTTTTTTAAAGGCACAATAAAGCCACACCACAAGGCAGAGAACCTTTTGATTTTATTTCAAAAGTACACAAGGTCACAAAACTAAGAGCAAGTTTTTGTTTTTTTAAACAAATTTGTTCTTACAAATTTCAAAATCCGCACCATTGGATATGTAAGCCAGAAATTTTAAATACAAAATCTGAAACTGACACTGTCAATACTCCATTTTGCAAATGTGAAGTGTCAAAATATTTTTCTCAGTAGTGCAAGTGTATTTATCACTAAAATTCACAGGGATAAAAATGAGTGAATCAGTGAATTGTGGTTTTAATACTTGCATAATTAAACAAGTTAGCAGAAAACACCACAAAGTCCTTCTTTGATGGAAATATTAATGTCTGTGATCAAAACAAAACCAACTCATATTCACTAATTCTTAAATTACAAAATAGGATATTGTATAAAAATTGATTTTAAGAGGCTAGTGTTACTATCCATAAGGTAAATGGTCAGCCTTCCAGCCTCTCCACCCCCGTAAAAAAAACCACAATTCACACATTTATTATTCTTCCCTGCTCTGTAACATTTATAAAAGGAGTTTGTGGACACTTATGGACTATTTTAGTGTTGAAGTAGGCAAACAAAAAATTCTATTGCAGAGCATGTTGCCTTTATTGCTGGACTATCCAAAAGGCATCTGAAATATTAAAACTTGCCCAGAACATTTACATTACTAAACACAGGAACGTCATAAAGATATATGTACATATATATATAATATGTAATGTCACAAGCCACTGAAAAGTTCAAATTGTGCCAACATTTTCTGCACACTACACCATATGTGACATATCAAGAATCAAACACATAAAATAAGGATTTTTTCTGTTCATACTGGAATAAGGCATCCAAACCCTACACACTGCTGAAATGCAAATTAGAACAAACTATAAACATGCACGTAACTTTAAATTTACATGCAACATGCACACAAAAACAGACTGAGAATAGTTATTTTTATAAGCCATGTATTACAGAATTTGGTAGCCAACTTCATGCAATGAATTCTTATATTTAATCAAGATGTTTAACCTTTTATTTGATCCAAAATTCCAGGATTTAATTGTAAATTTCTTATCTTCTTAATAAAAATCAAATATTCCTTTATATCCATAATCTCTATTCATGATGACTTGGGTTTTATTAACTCACTTTCCCCTAAGACACACTGTATCTCCAATGTCATAAATCCTTGGTAAATAGTTCAAATTTAAAAAGAATAATTTGTCCAGAAACACTGATCAGTGTAATCAGTGGGGACTTTGGTAAGAGAGCTTTCTAACAGGAAAATATGAAGAAAAGCACTGTAAACTATTCTAAACTCAAAGCACAAAACTGTAATTCACAGGATCACTTCCCTTCAAGTTATCTTATGCAACTTTAAATGATATCAGATTTCTCAGATATACAGTAGAATCAAACAGTTTTGCTTTGAAGATGAAATACTTTCCTTGACTCTTATTACTGGCTCTCACTGAGATGTTCTAGTAAGTTTGCATTAACTATTTACCATTTGCAGTAGTAATTCTAAAATAGGTAATCTGTTTCTCCTAAAATTATCAGTGAGAATTATTTGGGGAATTATTAGTACTAAATGACCTGTGAGTCAACTGAAATTTATAATAAGAGCAACTGGAGACAGAAGCCTAAAACTAAACTATGTTCTCTAATACCAATCACACCCAATAGGTCTGCTCAGATTACCCAAGTCATCTTTTATAAGCTTGATTTCCAGATTATAGTGGATTATGAATACTAACTGCAATACTTTCTGAAAGACTGATTTACTTATAATCAAACCTTAGATAAATATGAAGCCTAAGGAAAGCAAAATCTTACATATGTTCATCCTATACTAATTTCTACTTAGATCAATAACAAAATCAGAAATAGGATACACCAAAACAGTTTTGCTATTCAAATTTGTGTTCTATTTTACTCTTGCAATATCTTAAAAACAGGCCAAATGTTTAGTATTCAAAAATAGCTACTGTTATAAAATTAGAAACGGAGCATTGGGATGTTAGTGCTTAAATCCTTATGAAGAACTGCCACTTAAGTTACATAAACACAGAAGAGACAGGAGCAGGCAAGGTTGAAAGTATGAGGATAGAGAATGTCACAGTGATGCGTTTTTAGAAACAGTACCTTCACCCCTAAGCACCTTTCCCATAGGTGATAGCTAGCTCATAGGCACCAGAAAGTCATAATAGAAATTAAATTATCCAGAAAGGCACAGATGAAAATGTTAACACAAGTATAAAAAGTAACTTTATGTGAGGTTGAAAACCTACTTAAAAAATGCTTCCTAATATGTAAAACTGTACACTAATTCATTACACATTCAGCTTAGATTTACCATTAAAAAGTGTACACAACACTCTAATTGTCAATGCATGCCAACATTAATTAATAATGTTGCATTTACCACCACAGCACCCAGAGAGATAACAGAAACCAACTCCCTACAAAAATCTAGGGAAATGGTTTTACAGCTAATCAAATAATTTATTACAGACCTTATTTACTATAAAGAAACTGATGGCTTATTCTACTATATCCACACTCCCTCATCATCTTAAGGGAAATACAATAAATCCACTTTCTTCTACTAAAACACATTTGGCAGGTAGGAGTATTTTCTTTACTCCTTTTGCTTTCTTTTTTTTAAAGAAGAAATCACTTCCACAAAACTAAGACTCAAACTTTTTCAAAGCTCAACCTGATCTGCTGGAACTACACAAACATGTTTGGCCACACAACGGCAACTGTACATCCTCCCCAGTCTGCAATATAGAATTGATGGAGGACACTTATTTTTATAAAATGTATTTGATCACTGAATCTATGATGAAAATATCCTCCACAATCTGCATTCAAAGGGTAAGTTTAGGTTTACATATTTTGAGAACATAAAATACACAATATCATAAAAAAAAAAAACCTTAAGCAAGAATGAAAACACATACACTTTAAATTTAGAATCAATAATTAGGAAATTCTCATCTGTATTCATCGCATAATAACTGGATTATAACATTTTCTTTTTAGAGAAATATAACCTAAAGTGGAGAGCCTAAAGTGTTTACTTGGGAACTGTGTATCCTGGATCTAGCTGGCCCTTCTTCCACAGACCACCACAGGCCTCAAGGCACCAGATCACCTGTCAAATAATCTATTTCCACTACTGCACCTATGGTGTCATCTGTATACATAGCTGAGGCAAATGTTCTAATTAAATCTAACAAATGCTCCTTTAGCATATGAAAGTCTACTATGTCCCTTTGGTGATTAAAGAAATTCAGTTCTCAAGAAATCATTTCATAGTTTATGAATGACCTGGAAGTAAAAACAGTCATTTCTAAAACATTGTAGTGTTTTGTTATTAGTGTCTTGTTAGATACTCCAAACTGAGTTTCAAAGAGGCTATTAAAACAAGTACAAACATATTGAAGTCTTTTTGCTATGTATGTTTCTTAGCTGATCTTGGGGACCCTGTTGGATCATAAATAAATGAGACACACATCTTAAAAATAATGATAGACATTATAAAGTATCACTTTCAGATGATTCAAGTAACCAACTTGTGTAAATTCACAGAGCTCCTCACCTATGATTCCATGTACAAAGTGCTATATCGTACTCAGGTAAATTAATAGTCATCTTTAAAACCAGCCTCTTCAAGATGGTAAATGTCTTTACTATCTCCAGTGTCTTTTGTTTCAAGATAACCAAATAAAACTTTGTGAAGCATAATTTTTAACAGTTTCTAGTTAACTTCTTTTCATATCTTTTGAGGCTATTCACAAGATTTAAACCTGAATAGATTTTCATACATCAAGAGGAGAAAAGACACACAAAGAACAAAGCAGGGAAGTTCCGAGGCTCTATACTATAGACCCGTCCTTGCTCTGTGCCGGAATCATCACAGGAACCGCTCCCATTCGGCTTAGGTTAGGGGCAGCTACCTTAGCGGGCGGGAGAGTTGGGCTCTGGGGAGCACGTTCAAAGTCTTCACTTGGTACTTGGTTATACTGAGTCTTTGAGTATCCCTCCATGTTGGAAGGAGACATGGATCCCAGGGATGAATGATTGCTGCCAATGTAGCTTCTGGCAGTGGATGTCCGGCTCTTTGGAGGAGGAACGTCTTCTCTGGAAAACAAAGTCCCCAGTGCAAGAAGTTAAAAGATCAAGTTTCTAAAAACTCCTAATTATGTAAGCCATGATTCATGACTAAAGGTCTTATTTAAAAGTATGAAATGCATATGTAACGGTGAGTGCCACACACACAAAAAAGAGGCAAGCACACACACTGTCATTAACTGTATATTTCTTCCCAGTATAATCGTTTTGATGAACTAGTGTACAACATGAGTACACGAGTATACAACTTCATACATAATAGAATATGTATTTTACACAAAGGTAGGCTTTATAATGAACAAATCTCATAGTTTTATATCCTAGCATCAACATGAAACATCATCTAGTTACAGTCCTTTAACACTTTCTGGCTGCTAAGAGTAATTTTTTTTTTTTTTTTTTTGGTACCAGAAATCAAACTCAGGATCTTGTGCTTGCCAGGCAGGCACTTATGCCACTGAGCTGTATCACCAGCCCTGGAAAGAGTATTAACACCTAGTGGCATATTTCATGGATATATTCTAGTCCTCTTCCCAAAAAAAAGGAAAAAAAAAAATCTCATTTTACTATGAAAGTTATATAAGACTTTAGCTAAAAACCTTGCATTTAAGTTTTTAAAAACTGGGACTTCAGACACTGGAATGCTCATATCAAGCACTGAGAAAGAATATTTATCTGAGTGACTTTCGGGGCATTTTAAAAATATAAGTGCTCAAATCCCACACAGACTGACCAAGAGTCCAATTCCAGGGTGTTAAACCATTTAGTCACATGTTGTTATTTTTTAAAGTTCTATAATCCAATGTGCAATTCTCATTAAGATCTATTAGTCCAGAATATTTAAAAAAATAAACTTACACTATGAATAGTTCTGTAAATTATTCATGAAAACTTGATACAAAAGCCAGGCGTGGTGGTGCAGGCCTGTTATCCCAGCACTCGGGAGGCTGAGGCAGGAGGATTGTTGGGAGTTTGAGGCCAGCCTGGGTTACAAAGTGAGCTCAAGGCCAGCCTGAATTACATAGCGAGACCCTGTCTCAAAAAGACCAAAAAAAAAAAAAAAAAAAGAAAACTTGATACACCTAGTCTTTGTTTTTAAACCTCAACAGCTGCTATAATTTGAGTAATGAGTTAATTATTTTGTAGTTCTCAAAATGGGATAGAAGAAAATTTGGGAAGCACAGTAAAGAATGGTGGGCACGTGCGTTTGAAAGGAAAGTTTAAATGTGTTGTGCGGAGGAGCTTTGGCCCAATTTTCCTAGGAGAATAACATGCGTCAGGTGCTAAAAAGAACTAATGCTTCAGAAACATGTATCTGTCACTGAATTACCTTATATCATGGTGAACTTCCTTTTCATATTTTTCTTCTCTGCGCTTTTTATGACAGCAAAAGATGATAAGACCAATGATCACAAGAGCAAGCAAAATTCCTATGATAGCTCCTGCAATTGTCCCAGCTCTATTGGAAGCTAGAATAAGATGTTAATAAGAATAGTTTTTTAAAAAAACACATTTATGATACTGGAGGTAGGATATATAGTATAATGACAGTATAATTGATTTGGCTGCATATATTAACTTTGAGAAACTAGCTTTTTGTGATACACTGGAGAATCTATAAAAAGTGTCCTTTATGAACTGAGTATTTTCAGCATAAGAAAGATAAAACCAGATAAAAAGTATTTAATATTCAAAGCTACCTTGCCAGGCATGGTGGCCCGCACCTGTAATCCCAGCACTCACAAGGCTGAGGGAGGAGGATCATTGTGAGTTCAAGGCCAGCCGGGCCACAAAGTGAGCTCAAGACTAGCCTAAAAACTGCATAGCAAGACCCTGTCTCAAAGAGACAAAAAAAAAGAAAAAAAGAAAAAAAGAAAAAAAATCAAAGCTATCTTGGTTAACATACAAGAATGCTCTAAGTTGCTCATACTTACAATGGCTAAATAGTGCACAAAAGTTGATTTGACAACTTCTTAATAAAAGTTATTTCTTCATAAATAATAATACATATAGTTTATTATTTCTTAATACAATATAGTTCTTAATAAAATGCAATTATTTTTTCCTACCCATGAACTAGAAAAGCTAACAACCAAGCCACAGAGCATTCTGCCCAACGTCACCATCCCCTTGCCTGCAATATACCACTGCAGACGAAATTAAAGGAGCTTGTCCAAAGGCAACAGAAACAAAACAGAAAGAAGACGCTTACGGGGAACAACATCAAGACGCAGCAGGCACTGATCAGAGCCCACTCTGTTCTGCACCGTACAGCTGTATGTCCCCGAGTACTCGGAAGTGGCGTTTCGTACAGTTATAACAGGTGAAGTCATTTCTGTGGGAGAGGGAAAAAACAAGCATTTTCAACGAATGTATTACTCTGAATTTTTTATAAACTTAAACTGAATTAAACTTTTAACAACCCAGTTAAAAGGAAGGCAATGCTGGATGCAAACAAGCTGCTGTGGAGCCCATGCATCTCCCCAGAATTGAGAATCATGCCTGCAGTTCTCACAGATGAAGGCAAAGAACCAAAAAACAAAAACTGCCAGAATCTTTCAGCCACAGAGCCTCCGCTAAAGCAAGGGTATGGTCCACTGCAGCAGCTGCAAGCTCATTTTGGGCCACATTTTAATTACAGAGAGCAGCTCATTCCATAGAGGCTCTTTCATGCAGCAGGAAAATCTGCAAGACCTATTTTATCCCCCACATGGAGCATTCAAAAGAAAATCAGAAGCGATAATCTAGTTTGGCCTCTAGTTAAAGAAAAGAGGCAGAGAGAAAACTTACTGAAGACCAAGGTGGGGTGAATAGAAGGAGGGCAGAGCACGACAGTCAGGCTGAACTAACAGGTCAATTACAGTAAAGAGATGAATTATCGGACTTGGGCACTTAGACAATTAACATCATACAGGTTCTTTCCCCCCTTACTTACAGAGCAGCCTTGGGTGGAATACTATAGCATCAACATGAATCTATCCAAAACACTCAAGATCGTAACACCCATTACGCTTCAGTCACTAATTTGTGATTATAAACACTTCCCACCAAATAAAATTTGCCAAAGGAACTAATTATAATATTCTAAAGGATGAAATTATTATAGAAACATTTCATTTACAGACATAAAACTGTCATAAATCCAAATAACTCTCGTGGAAATTTTGATCACTATGTATAGAAAAGGGAAGACATTTGCAAATTAAAAATATGTAACATATACATACAAACCCTACTAGATTAAGTCCAAATCAGTGGCACATGGTACAATTTGTATCATCAGCAGTACCTGCTAACCATGGGGTAGGCATTCTCTGGGAGTCAGACAATTTTTGCCATTCATATCGTAATGGAAGCGAACCTTCTCTTGGTTCACATTTTAGTTTAAAGTCATTTCCAATTTCTTCTGATCCATCAACGAAACATCTTGTACCTGATGGCTTAACTGAAAAATGAAAATACATTCAACTTCATAAAACGAAATGAATTCATGATGCATAACCAATGATAACTGACTCATTATCAGCTGGTCCTAGGTTCAGAATCGACAAAAGAAAGATCACAACGGGCTGTCAACATCAGTTTATTCAGCTTGTCAAACAGGAAACAAGAATAAGCTCAGGCAAGCAGCCACTGCATAAGGAGGTTGGCAGCACCTCAGGCACAGCTCCATGCCCTCCATTCCATGGGCACATGTGAAAAAAGCAAGGATGATGCGAGCTGGAAGACTTGCCACTCAAGAAAGTGTCCCCTCCACTCCTTACCTATTCTTCTCCGAACTTGAAATGCAGTCTTCTAGGAGTAAGTGCCAAGTCACACTGACAATCGGGATTTATAATGAAAAATGCTGATAACAGGGACAATTCACTTAGTGCAACAAGAACCATTTAACATTCGTATGTACATTAGCAGATCCATTGAGAGAGCAGTGTTACAAAAAAGTATACCTCAGGCTGTTTTCTGTATCTCCTTGAGTAATCCTTTAGTGCAGCTACTACGCCTCATTACCTGCAACTTATCCCAACCCTGGTGCTGCATAACCTTTGGTTGAACTTCACTAAGACATAACATTCATATACTAAATTACCAGTTAATCATGTGGGTTGATTACTTTTAACAAATATGTACACATAGTCATCACTTGGTATCCACAGGGGGAAATCAGTTCGAGAGCCCTCTGTGGATTCGAAAATACCGGATGCTTACGTGCCCTACAGACTCTAAGGCAACTCTAGACTACCTGCAATGTCTAATATAAGGTAAACGCTACATAAGCAGCTATTATAATGTGTGATTAGAAAGAAAGATTTTTAAAAGTCTATACATGTTCAGTACAGACATACTTTTTTCTCAGTATTTTTGAGTCATGTTGGATCAATCTGAGGATGCAGAACCCAAAGATATAGAGGGCCAACTAGATCAATTAAGCACCAGTCCAGTCCTCTCCAAAGAAAGTTCCCTCCTTGCTAGCTGCAGTCAATCTCGCTTCAAACTCTTAACATTCCCTTTCTACAATATAAATGAAAATATAGTATAGCACGTACTTGTCTCACTTCTTTCATCCAGGATGTTTCCTAAGTTGATTCATATTGTACCTATTGGTAATCATTCTGTTACTATAGATTAATATTCCACTGAGTGACTATAATATGTTCACTTATCCATCCACCCTTTCGAACGCTGTTTGCAGTTCTGGGGCTACTATTATAACCTAATCAGCGAAACTGACCAGGAGTAAGTATGCAGCCTGTCAAAGTCAGATTAACCGTGCGGGAAGGCACCACAGAGAACCATGGAATGCCACTGGCAGGAGAGAAGAGAGAAGACTCTGAGGAAATTCTCAAGAAAGCAGAGTTCAATTCTCAACTGGCTGTTTCTGAGGAGAGATCAGGAGAAGTAGAGTTAAGTGTGCAGTGGATGCTATCTAGAGATCCGCCCTTCAGTAATCATTGTTCAAATAAAGTGGGTCTGGGGGAACACTAGAAAAAGTGTAATAATATTTTACTGCTCTTCTACAACCTTGGGAGAAATGTTTCCTATAAATTCTGTAGCAGGCTTTTACTTTTTTTAGTTGAAGCTAATTTTTATTCTTTCAGTCCTGGATGAGTTTTTATTCCTTTACCACTATGAATAAAGGTTTAGGAGTTTTAGAAATCTGTACTGTTATAAACACCACTGCTTGAACACTTATGTAATACTGTCATATATTTTCCATTTACGGGGTAATTCCTGGGTCATATGTAAATATACATTCAACTCTTTAAGAAAATGCTGAAGTGTTTCCCAAAGCTGGTCAGCAGGATCTGTCACATGCAGTGGAGTACCTTGGACTAAGGTTGTCCAGCATAATCTCACACCTTCAAAATTTCTTAATACTCCTTAACAAATTTACTTCTTCATCTGTTACTGCTATTTATCAATAGATGCATTTAACTGCATTATTGATTTTTCTAAACAAATTCGTTTCTTTTCCAGATTGATCAGTTACCATACAGACCACATCAACTGAACTTACGTCAAATAAATTTGGCAGATGAGATTATTAAAGTAACACTTTTTACATCAAACCAGCAAATGTTGGTTAATATAATATTCTAACCTAATTCTAATTCTTATCCTTCCTACTAAAAATGTCTCTTTTCCATATCCCAAACATATCCAATAACGAGCAATTATTTAAAGCTGCTGTTTACAAACTCAAAGGTCCAGTTGAATTTGAGATTTCAATATACTCTATCCACAAAAGAAAGAGTTTATCAATCCTGGTTTTTGAACATCATTTTGGAAGAGCCCAACTACTTTCTAGTGAGAAAGTGCAAGTTCGTTACATGCCCTTCCAACCGTGACACCACAGGGAACATTGGTTCCTTCCCCATGACACTCTTGCTGACCATAAACTTGGCTTCCAAAATACCTTTGGTGGCCATCATCTTCACAACTTTTGCTTCCATGAACATCAGCATAGCCTACAGCTCTTCCCAGACAAATGTATGAGGCCATCAGGCTGTACCTGGCCATTGTATCCCTACAATTTAGTAATGCTGTGCTCCATACGTATTTTGCAGTGGTACCTCAACTCACAAACTTAATTCTTTCCATGATTCTCACTGAGAACTGAATTGGATGAGGACGGAATCAAATTCTGGGGCCAGGTTCAATGCTGACCTTATAGGAAAATTTGATTCAGTTCTTGTCCAATTTGGTTTGTGACCAGAATCGTGGAAAGTTCATGAACTGAGGTACCAATGCACATCATCATCCTCTCATGCCAGTGGCCTACCTTAAGTCTACAGGAAATATCTTCCAAATCCCTATATGGGACGAGACATACTTTTATCATTACATTATCTTCCCACGAATGCTATTTCTGCTTGGTTCAAAAACTCTAACCACTTGTAATCCAGCAGTCTTGAGAGGATGACTCAGGATTATAAACTCAAGCCAGCCCAGGTGATTTAATGATTCAGTGAGATCCTGTCTCACAATAAATTTTTTTTAAAAGGCTGGGGATGTAGCTCAATGCAAAGGCCCTGGGTTCAATCCTCAGTACTGCAAAAACAAACTAACATCACTATTTCTCCAGACAAAAGCCATCAATACATGCTAAAGCCAATGGAAAAACATGAGGGGAGAAACAGGCTATCTGCAGTCTCAAAGTAGATCCCTCAAGATTTATTTTTTAATTTCAGAGGGGAAAAGAGTAACTTTATAGTGTAGAAGCTCATCAGATAAAACTTAAACCAACTGGTCATGATTAAAATAAGATGACATCATGCAACCCTTGATATGATGGGAAGAGATTACAGAGACATTAAGTGCAATGTGAGTTCTAGATCCATGCTAGAAAAAACTGTCACACTGAACTGTGAAATTCCAATTTGGTCTACATTTTAGTTAACAGTACTATACCAATGTTAATTTCTTGATTTTGATATCTACAGTATGATTTTGTTAACATTGGGGGAAATTACGTTCAAGTATTTTCAAAAATTTCATCTGATGCTGGCAAAAAAAAAAAAAAAAAATTGAGAGGGATTGAGATGTGTTATGTACATGGTTATCAACTCCCTACAGTGAATGTGATCATTATGTACTGCGAACATGTACTAATAAAAATTTTAGAAAAGTAATTTTCTACAAAACTAAAAATTATTTCAAAATTTAGAAATGTGTGTGGCAGCAAAAGCCCTGTCCTGTATCAATGACTTGCAAATCCTCCAGGACATTTCGGATCAGAGTTGAATGAGCCACTATTCTAGCTATTGCCACTGTGTCTGGCAGCATGCTATTGTCTGAGCGCACTATATACATCCAGAAAACTATCAGTTATGCGTGCTGTATTCTTGCAAACAACTCTCCACACCAGAAGGTCTCAATAATAGACCCTGTCAGAGCTCCGGGAGAAGGCACCGGTGATATGAGGCCACAATACTAACCTATTAAGCCCTTTGTTATCCTTACCCACTTCAGCTTCTTTTCTGAGCTGTAACCATGTGAACTTAAGTGTTCTGAAAGAGCAGGGCAGACTCCAACAATGGGGTGAAGCCATAGCAAATGCCATCCTTCACATCCAGTAAACTACGTCATCTGGGTTCACGGCCACACAGCACCGAGTTCAGTGAATGAACTTTCATTACCCTATGGGTGCTACGGTGGCAACTCCTTCAGAACGGAAGTATCAGGCAGAGTCTCTCCCAGTGAACCAAGGGAGTGCTCCCAATGGACTATCACTTACTGGGTCACTACAGGGCACTTCATTTGATCTTTCCCAGAATACCCAGGTAGAATTTACAAGGAAAGCTGGTAGACAAGCGTCCCTCTAATTCTCACTTTTAAAAGAAAACAATTCTGGAGGTTTCTCCCAGCAGCTGTAATGACTCATCTGAGAACACAGAAGGATGTTCTTCTCTGGCTCTGTGACAACCTCGTTAGATCATCACTTCCCTTTAGCAATCGCTTCCTTCTTCCTTCTCACATCCCCATTCTGTCTCTTCTCTCCCTCCCAAGTGTGAAGGCCAACTTGGCTATGGTAACCCTCCACAGAGCTACATCAGGGAGGTGGGTCAGTGTTTCCTCCTTGTCCGTCCTGAAGACCAGATGCCGGACTCGGGGGTTTAATATAAAAGGGCCATCCCTGCTGTAGACAGACAGATACCCTATCTGAGACAGTCACAAACACTTCGAATGTTTACAATTCCTACTCTAAGAAGCTAAAGGTTGCCTTACATCGATATTGCTCCTACAGTATGTGATCACTCCTGTTACTAACTGCTTCATACAAATAAAAATAACTCACCAAGAACTGTCAGCAAAACTTTCTTATTTGCAACACCAGGAGCTTTCTTCACTTTGCACTGGTATGTGCCAATATCCGACAACTGCAAATTTGTTACATTTATTGATGCATCACCAGATTTGAGATCGTTACTTGTAAAATGTACTCGTCCTTTCAGAGCTTCATGGTAGTTATCATAAATTTTGTCTCCAGAATATAAAATAATCTAAAAGAAAACCAAACAAGAATATTAAATAACAACAAAACCTACCTCATTAAATGAACCGATAGCACAGACAGTACAGTATAGTATACCAATAGTATACTGATGGCATAGAGTCCAAAACAGAAATAGAACACTGAATGACGAGAAAATCTAAAACTATCCAAATGACAGAATAAGAAGACAGAAAGGGGTCCGTGATATCCTTGAGTTTATTCCCATGCTCCCATTTTTAAATGGTGAAACCAATATCCAACATAACAGAGCTCCATAATAGATTTGTAAGACTCGACAGGACGCAGCTTTGTTCATTCCTATTCGCTCCATTTTTCAAGTGCCTCCAAGCCTGCAGTCAATCAATTAAATGCACAAAATCAAAAATATACTGCCTTGGCCGGGCATGGTGGTGCACATCTGTAATCCCAGCGCTCGGGAGGCTGACGCAAGAGGACTGTTGCGAGTTCGAGACCAGCCTGGGCTACAAAGGGAGCTCAAGGCCAGCCTGAACTACATAGTGAGACCCTGTCTCAAAAAGACAAAAAAAAAAAAATACTGCCTCCTCTCTCTCCAAAAAGGCTTATCAAAATTCACCTGTGGCACCCAATGACGACATTATGTATGCCTCATTACTGCTTTGAAGACACCTAGGGGTTCTAGAGTCTAGAGTGTAACATCATGCAGTGAGCCTCCTCAGGTACATGTGTGTCCAGGTGAGCAAGAGCTTTCAATGAACCTCTGTGACTAACGCGAAGCCCATTTCCTCTTCCACTGAGTTTTCTGAATGACAGGCTTTGGCGGCAGTGATCAAAGACTAGATTCAGAAGGAAAATAAAATGGGTGCTAAGTTTGACTTGGTGGAGAACACTGGTCATCTCTAACAGACTCTGAAGTTAATTTAAAACATTTCATAAATTTTCACATTCACCACTAAAATCCTATGTTCTGTTCACACGAGACTCAAGGGGCAAAAAGTAGTGCCAAACCCAAAGAGTCATCAGGAAAATGTCTGCAGTCTACACACTGTGAGTAACTGTTATGTAAACATAAATAGCAGCCCGAGCGTCCACAGCTAGCTCACCCGGTAAGCACGGGCTAAACAAGGGCCAAACATGGGCCAAACACAGCCGTAATTTAGTCCACTCCTTGCCACACCCCCTTGTCAGCAGCACTACTGAGAACGCCACGCCTGGGGCTGCCCTCGCTTCCTGTTCGCTTACTTGTTCTAAAGGTCGCACAGTCCCATCTACCCTGCCTTCAATAGCTCACACTGCCGCACACACGCCCCTCAGTCATCTCTCAGCACTTCCCCATGAAAACAACCAGACCCTTCCACATTTCTACTGATTCCTCTTCATATCCCTGCAAGGGTGACAGCACTGTCCACAGGGAACACTACACGGGAGTCCCACAGCTAAGAGGAGCGAATTCTAACAACTCTGAGGTGGAACGTATTTGTTCCTATGTGACAGGAGGAAATACATTTATGGAACATGGGTGAGAGTAAAGGACGCTACAGTGCAAAGGACCATAAATGTGCAGATTGAAAGTCACAGAGAACTATATTCAAATTTTAACCTAATTTATCGCCAGCTGTATGACTCTGGTCATCTTCCCTCCTTTGCAAATATATAATAATTCTCACTGGAGGGTGTCTTTTCAGACTGCAAAATAGTAACGTACCACATAACCATGTTTCAGCCGACCAAGGAGCACATATATACAATTCCGTAGCCACTGTACGTCTGTGTCGCTGCACTCTGACAGCCACACCACGGCATAAGCACCTAGTGATACACTTTTCAGAACGTATGCCCAATCTTCAGCATCTCTGCAGTCCAATCCAATTCCTCATCCCTAGCCACTGCGTCTACCAGCTTAAATATACTGTAACTGGTCTTCAGCTAGCGTATGAAGTAGCTGAAATTCTTTGTAGGCGTCCTCTTCTGTATCGATTTCTCCCCATTCTCCCACTTGTCTGATTTTACTATACACTGCTTTGAGGCTGGGTTTTTAACACAGGAACAGACTCTCATGGTCAAGCACATAGTCTCACACTTTTCCCACAGCCCCTGCTGACAGCAGGACTGTGCCTCCCACTCAACCCGAGAGACGTGGGGTCGTCTTTCCACTAACAGACACACTACGTCGGCTCGGGGCACACTGTGCCGCTTGCTCCGTGCGCACCTGCTCAGGGCTGCACTCATCCCATGCACCTCAGACAGAAGCACTGAAGATGTGCTCTCCATCCTAACCACGCCTCAGGGGGCTGGCTTCCAGCGGAGGACAGCCACTGCGCGGAAAAGGGGAAGTGCACAGCCTCGGTGAGCAGCCTGCATTCAGAGTGCCAGCTCTCCAGAGAGAGAGAGAGGAACGTAAGATGGACAGAGAAAAGAAACAGTATGGGGTGAGGAACCAGGGAGAGTCGGGCTCAGTTTATTTTGCTTAGAAGACAAGAGGAAGTTTCAGTGGCAGAATGGGGCAGAGGTTATTTCTCTGAGGAGTGGCCTTAGCCTCGACAACTTAGGAATGCATCTCAATTGCTTCCTTCACAGGTCAAATTGTCTGGATTTGCCAAAAATATTAATTACCTAGTGGTACAAATTCAGTCATTACACAGAATGATTTTTCAGTTTAATCAAGCCCTTCTTTTACATGGACAATAAACAAATATAATTTCTTTTTCGCTGCACTCCTTGAAGTGAACTTATTTTCATCTCCTGGTCCAACATAATTTATGAATGTTTAGTTTTTAATTAAATAAGAACATGTTAAATAAAGTGAAATACTTAAAAGGCAAAGTGTTATATATGTATTTGGAGGTGAGATTACTGAACAAGTGTTCCTTTCTGTGCTATTTTTAGCCTTCCAAATTTTCTTATTAGGCTCTTACTACTTTGGTTAGAAAAAAAATACTACAACAATATTGTGATTTTTTAAAAAAATTATAATTTAAGTTGGACTGTTTTTCTGCTATACCAACTTAACCTTGCTTAAGAAATTCATCATACAGGATGTAACTTGAAGAAATAAAGGGAACAGACTCTGTAATAACAATATATACCTGCTTTATATACATCACACCCCACGGCCCTTCCACTGGTAAAGGGTCCTCAGGTGAAACCTAGAATTCACTTCTCTCAGGTGTATTAACACAGAACAGGTCACTCACCATCCCCAACACACTACGAACACGGCCATCTCCCCATGAAGCCAGCTCCAGAGCCTGTCCACTCTTCCCTGCCTTGTGATCTGCACATTCAAATCCAGACTTTCAGAATTATCACAAGTTCCTTTTCTCCCTAAAAGCTTTCTGTAGAAAACTACATGGACCTTTTCTTCTTCTGTAATCTTAGGTCACTTATTCCATTTCACTCCATCACAAAGATGACCTCACTTTCCACCAGCATGATCACGTGACTTCCTCACCTAGATCAAGGCTGAGCCAGTGGGCTCTCTTCCCAGCTAATATGCCCCATCCGTGTGATGAGCACAGTGATGGACACGAAGACAATTGCACGGACATTTACCCAAGGACCAAGCACTTATAAAACTCACCACTTGATCCACCTTCTGATTATCAGCTGGTGATAGCAGCCATTCAATGTCCAGTGGTCCCTGGTCATCAGGACCAATAGTAAATTTGCATGGAAGATAGGCAGTTTCCCCTTTGGCTTTTTCAATCATCATCTGATCGGGAGGAGTGATACTCAAACTTCTAGTGAGATCTGTAGAAAGAAACATGTACACAGGACTAAGCATCTGCTGTCACCTGGAGAATAATAGCAACTGGGTCCTGTAGACTTTCCGGGAAGTACAATGAAGTGGGGGACACGGATGGGTTTTGAGTCCATCCAGAGGAATGACATTCATATACCATGGTGCTTTGTAAGAATGAAATGACACTATTAATACTACCGAGTTTTATGTAAAATACCCTTTAAGAACACCTTAAGCTTCTGAACATAATATAAAATCTCAGTCTTTACTACTAGTAAGAGGGCTTCTATGTCCCTGCAGTTGGTCACAACTGTAGTTAGCTAGATTCTCTGAAAGATCAGTAATGTCACCCAAATCCAAGGCGGTACTACTTTACGTTAACCACACCACCATGGCACACTGAGAACTCACTGTTCTTAGGGCACACACTGATAAACTCTGACACATCTCCTGCCAAGTTTTTAACTCTAAACATTTATTACACATAGTCTTATAACTTGTATGGAACACTTAAACATTTCTAAGCAATACATTTTGATGAATACAAAAAGGACACAACTTATATATAGTCACGCACTGCATAACATTAAATTTTCATTAAATCTCTGACCATGGCCCCACAAGATTAAAATGGAGTTGAAAAAACCCGTTTCATTTCAGAGTATTTCTACTGAAGCTTTTCTACATTTAAACATCTTATGGTACACAAACAGCACTGTGTTACAAATTCCTAGAGTAATTCGGTACGGTCTCAGGCTGCACTGGTTTGTAGCCTAGGAGCAGCAGGCTATACCATACAGCCTAGGTATACAGTAGACCACCCCACACAGGTTTGTGTAAGTACACGCTGATCATCACTCGATGACAAAGTCACCAAATGATGCCATTTCTCAGCGTCTATGCCCAACATTCAATAATGCATGACAGTATGTTCTACAATTTACCACATGGTTGGCTTCAATATTACCTTTAAAAAATTTCTTACTGCTCATCCCCTATTTCCTTCTTGAAAAAAAAAATCACAACTGTACTTTATTTTTTAAAAAGCCTTCTTAAAATCTTATGGTAGAGCCAGGCGTGATGGTGCGTGCCTGTAATCCCAGCACTTGGGAGGCTGAGGCAGGAGGATCATTGGGGAGTTTGAGACCAGCCTGGGCTACAAAGTGAGCTCAAGGCCAGCCTGAACTGCATAGCGAGACTCTGTCTCAAAAAAAAAAAAAAAAAAAAAAAAAAAAAAAATCCTGTTTTACTCTGAAATTCACATTCTATAAAATTTCCATTTAGCTCACAATTTTAAAAATTAATGCTGAATGGCATTTATTTATTTATTTATTTATTTAGGAAGCAGGGTCTCGCTAGGTAGTTCAGGTTGCCCTTAAACTATGTAGCCCAGGGTGGCCTCAAACTTGAAGCAATCCTCCTGCCTCAGCCTCCTGAATGCTTCAATTACATGTGTGTGCCACCACGCCTGGCCCAAATGGTGATATTTGAAAAATATGTAAAAGAAGATAGCCTAAGCTCCAACAAACAATTCCTCACAAATATTCTTCTGCTTGAGTTCATTAGAGATGGCTTAGTCTGCAACTGAGCAAGAGCTCACAGAATCTCCTTTCTAACTTCACTGTGACAATGACAGTGTCACTTACATGCATAAAAGGTGGAAATTAACTCCAAGCAAAATGGTTTTACTTCTTGATGTATAAGAAAAACAAGTTTAATCAATGTGTTTTTCAAAAGGAAAGGAAGAAAAAAAAAATCCTATCAATTTCCACATAAAAACAAGTTTGTTCAATGTTTATCTTCAAATAAGATTAACTTCTGAAGGAGTCATCAACTTGATTTAAAATGCAAATTGAAGATGGGCATGGTGCCGCACACCTGTAATCCCAGCACTCAGGAGGCTGAGGCAGGAGGATCCTTGCAAGTTCGACGCCAGCCTGGGCTACAAAGTGAGCTCAAGGCCAGCCTGAACTGCATAGTGAGACCCTGTCTCAAAAAGACAAAAATAATAATAATAATAATAATAATAAAATAAAATGCAAACTGAGAGCATAAAGGACACCACATAAAAATGTTATACTATTTAACATGAAAGTAAGCACAGCACAATTGTCACACTTGGGGTTTCTTTATAATAACCTAATATTTTCTTAGGCAGAAATTCAAACATTAACATGTACAACCACAAGTTTTGCCATTTCCTGTTTAAAAAGCAGCTCTACCACCTGGGCTCCAGCACACCTGACATTCAGGACGAAACAAGAAGCTGGGGAAGATTTAAGCACTACAATTATGATATGGTTCACACAGCCTGTTACTCCCCTGCACCACCATAAAAGTAAACACATTAAAGCAAAATGAAGAGTTTTGTCAATCCAGTGTCCCAGTTTTCCACAGTGACTGTTTGACTGCAACTCTGCCATGGCACACTGAGAACTCACTGTTCTTAGGGCACACGTTGATAAACTCTGACACATTTCCTGCCAAGTCTTTAATTCTAAACGTTTAGTATACTTAGTCTTATAACGCTTAAACATTTCTGAGCAATACATTTTGATGAATATTAAAAAAAAACTTATATACAGTTGCATAACAATGTTTCATCGAATCACTGACCAAATAATAAATTCCAACAGAATAAACTAAAACGAAGCATTACTAGTCATGACCTGATCCTTTCTACTAGCTATAAACGTAATTACAGTACTTAACTATCAGATTTACTAAAATGTTGATAAAGTTGAAGCCAAAAGATTGAGAACTAAAGAAAAGCCAGGCTACATTTAAGACCATTTATGTTCAGGTTTTTATTTAACAGCATTTAAGAGACCTAAAGAGATTAAAAATGAATACAAATTCTCTGCATCTTGTCCCTTCCTTTTGAGGTTACCCTGTTCTGACCAAAAGTAGATCCCCGCCACAGTGTGAATGACCCCCAAATGAAAGATTTGAGGAGTCTGCCAAAATTAGGGTCCCGTAACACTCAGCTCCTATCAAGACCAGCTGTCCCCAGTCCCACGAGTGAGCCTGGCCTCGCGTTCGGCGGCTCCTAACCTGGAAACCCACAGCACCAGGGGTCCACACTTCTGTATCTCCACTCGCAGCCTGGGGCCGCTCTGTGACACCACAAAGACTGATGGATACATCACCCAAACCTACTGCTTCAGACCAAATGGACTACATACTATCCCCCAAAATATATATTACTCCATTTCATATCCACGTATCTATTTAAAATTAGAATTTGATATTTATATGTATTATCTCAAGCATTTCTCCTAAATCAATATTTAAACCTCTAAGTATTTTTAATTATTTGTAATAAAACTCAGTTCCATTTTCACATCGTTCACTAAGGTATTCTTCTGCTTCTCCACATCACCATGACTTTTCTGTCCTTCCTCCTATGAATGCTCGTAATACTTTACTTGTATCACCACTGTAGCATATGCTACTGAAAATTTTTTTAATTTTTAAGTTTCAAGATGGAGCTGCCAGGGCTCTGTTACAAGTACATGTGGATGAGCTTATCTTGTTCCCATACTACCTCGTATTTTCAGGACCTTCTAAAGTGCACGTACAGCCAGGCACAACCAGAGCACCAGGATCACACCTCCAAGCCAGACTGGAATTCGTAGTGGGATCCCATCACAAAATGAAACAAAATAGTAATTTCAAAGGACAGTCCTGATTTACCATTAAACCTCTAGCTCCATTAGAGCAGGGAGAAACTATAGGTACCTCTACATCCTGCTGTAGAAAGGGACTGTTGAGTGAAAGAGGCAAGCATTAATCTGCCAGAAAAAAATCCTATTTCAAGTGCTCCTTTCTATGGCCATTACAATTTGCTGCCTGCATTTAATTTGTCTGGCTATTAATACTTTATTATTGCTTTGTTGTTGCTGTCACTGAGACAGGGCCTTGCTATGCAGTTCAGGCTGGTGATAAACTTACTATGTAGCTAAGAATGGCCTCCAACTCATGGCAATCCAACTGTCGGCCTCCAGAGTGCTGGGAGTGTAAGCATGCACCACCACACCTGGCTGGTTATTAATACTTTATATAGCAAGTAAGAGATGAATAACCTAAGTACACCCTGGAGTGAAAAATTCCATTTCAAAATATGAGCCCAAAAACAAGGAGAAAAAATAAATGAGAATGCAAAACTGCTGTAAATAACAAAACCTTTTAAGTCATGATGTAGTTTTTGAGTTTCCATTTTATAGAAGGCAACAAAAAAGTTAAATGAGGGCTGGGGAAGTAGCTCAGTGGTAGAATGTTTGATCAGCATATGTGAGGCCCTGGGTTCAATCCTCAGTACCACCAAAAAAAAACAAAGAATTAAATGACATTAGACATCTACAGGTGTAAAAGTTCAAATTCTCCTTATTCATTCTTGTTCGATACAGAAAAATATTATTATTTTAAAAGACCACCTTAAACTGGGTATGGCTTATGCATTTAAGAGACACTACCATTGTCACAGTGAGATTAGCAAGATTTATGAGCTCTTGCTCAGCTGCAGACTGTTTAAGCCATCTCTAGTGAACCCAAGTGGAACACTGTTTGGAGGAATTACTCTTTATTTGGAGTTTAGGCTATCTTCTTTCACATATTTTTCAAATATCACCATTCAGGCCAGGCGTGGTGGCACAAGCATGTAATTGCAGCACTCAGGAGGCTGAGGCAGGAGGACTGCTTCAAGTCTGAGGCCAGCCTGAGCTACATAGTGAGCTCAAGGCCAGCCTAAACTACATAGGGAAACCCTGTCTCAAAAAGAAAAAAAATAATAATTTTAAAAGACCACCTTAAAACTATTATATATGCATGTGGTCAGCTTTCAGTTACTGCAACAAAATATCTGAGATAAATGACTTAAACATAGGAAAGACTTTTTTCTGGCTCAGTTTTAGAGGTTTCAGTACTTGATCACTTGGCACAGCTGCTTTCAGCACTTTGGCTGGGGGGCGGGGTGCGCAGGGAAGGAGAAAGAAGAGGGAGAAAAAGG